GAAGAAATGTTACTAAGGGAGATGATTTGATCTGGTTTAGTTATTAAAGTATCACTGGCTGCTGTGGGGAAGGGGAGAGGTGTGAAGATCAGAAAGGACAGCTTAGTTAGGTGGTGCTAATTTAATAGTCTAGGCTGGCAGCCCCTTAATTTTTGAGCTTATCTCCTAATGCATATGTGTTTAGATATATGTTTGATGTTAACATTATTGCTTACGTTATAAAACATGAAAAAATACAAATGTAAAAAGGATGAGAAAAAATTAAGAGAAGTAGAAATACTGTTTTCTTTCTCACCCCAATGTATGTTTAGTATTCTGGGATATATGTATTCCATTTTGAAAACCACTTGTCTAAACAACAGATCATGGAACATGAATAGTGACAGTGGAGATAGTTTGGAGAGAGAAATGAAGAGACTGCATTAATAGCTCTTGGAAATCGGTTAAATAGTAATAAAAGAGAAGGAAGTGGGGTGAGGAGGGCCCTCTGGTTTGTGTAACTGAATAGGTAACAGCACTGGCTAGAGAATTAACATATACTCTAGTAATAAGCTAATCATGTTTGTGCATTCTGCCTGAATGTGATGTTTTCTCTGAGCATATACTTAAAAATGCCTTAGTTACAAAGGGCGGGATGGTGGTAAGGCAATTTGATGGACAGGTCCTGATCTATGTTCAGGAGGAAGAAGCAGGGCAGTGAATATGGAACGAGGGCTACCCTTGCCTCTGGAAGTGTTAGGCTATGACAGGATTGGGAAATTAGAGACCCTGCAACTTCTGGTTGACTCTTCCAGTTTCTTTAGCTGGAGGCAGTCCCTCCTTCCGTGTCTAAAAATAAATAGCTTGCAAAACAGATGCTGGATTGACACTCTTGCCAGTCAAGCCTAATAAATTATCAGCAACTTATCAACCGTTGTGGTCATTTTCATACTTACTTGGAAGGGAATGAAATGCATTTGAAGCGCTAAGTTGGGGGAGGGTTAAAGAAGTGAAAAGGGGCGGGGGAACACAATCATACACAGTTTTACCTACGATTCGGTTAAAAAAAAGAGACCGAGAAGTTCTACATGATGGTATTTTTTTCATGTGTGGCTATAGATACATGATGCCTCATTTCTGAGATCTATAAAGATTTTCTTTTATTAAAATCTATATATATATTTTAAAATTTGAAATTATTTTGAAAATGTGTTAAAGTGCCACTTTAAAAATACCATCACTTTGAATAAAGTCTACATCTCTTAGCAGTTTGTAGTTCTCACATCTCTTAGCACAGTACCCTGCAAATATGGTACCTTTCTTCCCCTACCAGTTTTATTGAGGTATACTCAACAAATAAAATTGTCAGGTATTTAAAGTGTACATACATCATGATGGTTTGATACATGTATACTTTGTGAAAGAATTTCTTCCCTCTCTTTAATTAACACATCCATCACAAATTTATCTTTTTTGTTTGGTTTGGTTTTGGTAAAAACATTTGAGTTCTACTCTCAGCAAATTTCAGTTATACAGTACAGTGTTATAAAGTATAGTCACCATGTTTTATATCAGATCCTCAGTCTTTATTCATCTTACAGCTGAAAATTTATACCCTTTACCAACCTCTATTTCCCCCACTCCCTTGCTCCTGGCAGCCACTTTTCTAGTCCCTGTTTCTATGAGTTTGGCTTTTTTAGATTCCACGTACAGGTGATTCCATGCAGTCTTTGTATTTTCTCTGTCCAGCTTACTTCATTTAACATAATGCCCTCAAGTTCTACCCATATTGCTACTAATAGCAGGATTTCCTTATTCTTATGATTGAATAATATTACATTGTATATATACATTGCATCTTCTTTATCCATTCCTCTCTTGAGGGTCACTTAGGTTTGTTTCATATCTTGACAGTTATGACTAATGATGCACTGAACATGGGAGTGCAAATGTTTCTTTGATATCCTGTTTTCATGTCCTTTGGGTGTATACTGAGAAGTGGGTTTGCTGGATCACATGGTAGTTCTATTTTTACTTTTGTGAGAAATCTCTATACTGTTTTCCATAGTGGCTGCAGCAGTTAATATTCCCACGGTATCTGTTTTTTGAACACGGACAGCCATACCATTGTAGTGTCTTCCTCCATTCAGTTCTGGATGCCTTAGAACAAACACAAATACACTTGCTTTCATTCCCTCTCAAAAATGTATATAGTAGAGCTTTGCAATTGTAAGGGTAACTTCTGGGCCTTATTGATGGTCAGAAGTCTGAGCACTGCTAATGTGGGTGCTGGTGCTGTGCTCACTCACCAGACCAGCTTTCCAGAGACTGCAAATCAAATTAAAACCAGCTTTAAGCAAACATTACCTCATTTAAACCTCAGAAAAAAATGCTGAGATGGGTAATATCCTCATTACAAATTGCCTTGGGATTAACTGCTGATAGTGGAAACCTCTAATGTTAAATATGTGAATGCTGAGGGTCTACTGTAGAAATTACATATAAAAGTAAGATACAGTAATGCTGATCACATGATAGCCTGTCATTTTCTTCTACTAATATCTCACCCAAGGTTTCTTTATTTTCCTACTTGTACAAAACAGCTAGTGATAAAGAGTGTTAAAAGGCAGGGGGAAAGCCTGAGGGATGGATAGCTGTTTTACAAACTACATTAGAAATAAATGAACAACCATGACAAGACTATTGTAAGGTCAGAGTAGCTCATAAAGATGGTCATTTTTCTTTTCTAGAAGTCTAATATAGACGTTAATTTTTTTTTTTTTTTTTTTTTTTTTTTTTTGCTGGATCCCAGCCTCCTCAGTTCAGGCTTTCCTTTAGGGCCTATCCTTATTTCTCTCAGCTCTAAGCCATTTTAATTGTGCTAACTTAAAGAGAAATATCCTTTTTTATTGAATTTACTCAGTCTGAACACTGAATGTTCTTTTCTCATATTCCACCCTCCTCCCTCAACTGAGTGAAGAAAGAGTTAATGGCATCAATATTAAGCAGGAAGTGCTGTTAGCCTTATGCATAGGATGGAGTGAATAATTTAGTATCTTCCGGAAATGCAAATTGCGGTAGAATTCAAGCAACCTTATCAGAATGTAGATCAGTCTTTTACAGTGGTATAAAGTAAAAGTCAGGAGAAAGAAGATGTTTAAAGATAGCAACTGCAAGAATGTTGCATAATAGTTTAAACTGTGGCAAGATTGGGAGGTTTTGGTTGAAAATGTTTTGTCTTACGCGGTAATAACGTTTTACCTGCATTCTGACAATTGTCAGATGACTTTTTGCCAAAATGATTAGTAATAGGATGTGGCAGTTTCTTTGCTGTCAGAGACGAGATAATTTCTCAGGTTTTTCTTGTAAGTTTTAAATGTTTTCATTAATTTTTCTCCTTTAAATGTGAATTAAAGAAAGTGAAGGGTAAAACCTGAAGACTAGGCATGTTTATTTAATAAAGGCTTTGTAGGAGTAGTCATTTATTAACATCGGTAAGACAGATTCTTTTTTTTTTTAAGTGTAAACTTCAAATATAATTGTTGAAAAATTTTTAAATGGTTTATCTTCTTTGGCATGATCTGATTAGGCTAGTAGACATTTTATATATATGCTTGTGGTCTTTTTTATGTCATTACTGTAAATATTGTGCATGCGACTTTACTAATAATTGATTGGGTGGTTGAAAGTGCTTAGTAAAGGTGACATCATCAATCTTATTTATTTTGTATGTGTTTGAAAATATCTGCTGTATTTAATATTTTTAAAGCAAGATTTAAATTGGATTATATTAAATCTAATTTCTAAAAATGGTCAAAAATTCTGATTATTTAAGACTTATTACCATTTTCAAATGTGCATTCTTCAAGTATAAATTGGTTTGGTTCTGATTCTATGCAGACTTTTAAAATTAGCATAAGTTGTATATTTAAAGAATACAGTTTTCAGGAGAAATCTAAAATACTGTCTTGTTTGCCTTTATGTAGTCTTTCTTAAGTCAGTATATTTTTAACTTGTTCATTGTTTCTTGATTAATACTATTGGAAAGAAGAAATCTTTCCCATGCTGAAAAGAATTTCTTTAGTGTTTTATAGAAAATTATTGATGTAAAGTTTTGAATGTCACTAATGTAAAACTAAAAAAAATTTGATTTTGCTTTTCCCACCCTAATTTTGAAAGTCACCTTGATTCTTCTATAAGCCTTTTCATAAATTACCATTTTCTTTTCATTATTTTTTCACTTAAAGAGATTTACCTCATTAACACTTAAGGTGAATTTTAGTATAGATAGCTTAAATATTAAATGGCTGTTTGATGTGGCCACATATTTTTAATAAGATTTGTCATATATATATATGCACATATACATATTGAAGAAAAAAGGAAAAGTAAAATATGGCTTGATAAAAATAATAATTTTGATGTTTTTCAAAGTGAAAAAATGAAGATATTCTTATTTTACATCAATGAATATGTAACACTTTAATTGCTGGAGGCTGTTTAAAATGGCTTTGGTCGTTTTCAACTAGTAGAAATGAGTTTACCTCATGTTAAGCTAATCTTAAAATAATCTTAAGCATTTCCACTAAATTTTTTTCAGCTGCAGATTCTTTTAAATGAGCATACCAAAGAGGGTAGATATCATAAAATTAACTCTAATGGCCATAGATCTTGACTTCCTATACCTCAGATCCATTTACTTTTTAAAATATAATTTTAAAACAAATCAGTTGCATTCTCTGATTGTATGACTCAGGGAATAGTTAAGCTCTAAGCGCATCATTTGATCTATGGCTTATTATAGGGTTTTTCCACAAATAAGATTACACATAAAAAATTTTGTAAAGCTTCTGTTAAAGAAGATACGTTTTTATTAAATTACAGAGTTTCCAGAATGAGGATCTAGATAGGACGTATGTATAATACATTTGAACCTTTCAAAGCACGTTTTAGTTTATATGAAGTTCTTCAGATGGCCCCGTTGTCCTTTGAAGCTTCTAACACCAAGGTGTCTGTTGCAGCCCAGAGCAAGGTTACTGCTACCCAGGACAGCACTAATTTGCGATGTATTTTCTGTGGTAAGCAACATTATGTTTACATTACTTTTTCAAGCTGTGGTACATACTACTTGCGCATTTCCATAACTTTTGTTTCCTTAGGCCATGGTCTGGTTTGTGGTATTTGGGATATGCAGCAAGCTACTGTTTTATGTTGTGATATTTGTTGTGGTTCATGTAGGTGATTTGGTCAGCTTTTGAGTTGGCTTCTTAGTGAGGATTTAGTTAGAACTAGTATCTTAAAACTAATTCTTGTTCACTTCTTCCAAAACGAATGAAAGGGAGTTTTGTTTATTCGTTTTTGTTTTTAACTATTTTGTTTTGGGCAGTCTTTTAAATTAGAATTTAAGGGAAAAAATCATATCCATTTTACTGTGATTTGGGGAATGTAAATGTGATTTATTGGAAGGGTACCTTTGCTTAACTTGAGTTAATTTTTGAGTGTACATGTTATGAGGCAGATGTAAGCTCTTACTTTAGTAGGTTGATTTCTGATTGATAGATAGCCTCCTTTATTCAGTAAGTTAGGTATCTGTGGCTTATAGAGTGTTTTCTTTCGCTTTCACTTTCACTCACTCATATACACACGTGTGCACATAATACGTGTTTGCATGGACAAACCAGTTATGTCACTTAGCCATTCCAAATTACAGTTAATCAGACATACACATATCCTTATCCTTACACAGGATGTATCTCTCAGTGTACACATGTGCACACACATATATGTCTGGATTCTTTTATTCTCATTTGATTCTAAAACTTTTGAAAACCCAAGTTCAAAAAGTGACTTTTAAAATCGTAGAGCCTTTTTTTTTTTTTGACTCATAATACGTTTTTGACTACTGTATACCTTGACTGGCCAGATTATTTTATGAGAGATTAAAATGATACATATTACTAAAATTTTATATAAACAGTTCAGCGCTTTATGTACGTTATCTATTGATTCGGAATTTTTATATGATTCTTCAGTATTACTAGCAATGTTTTTTTTACCTAAAACAGAATTGTTATAAGATTCATGTACTTGCTGGTTTAGGCAAAGAAGCATATGTTACAGATTTCCAAAAATGGAAATTCTGATGTATTTCTTAACCACCTGAGCTTTTATTTTATGGTCGCTCCAGGTGACAGTTACAGCAGTGAGCCTCTTGTTGGGCTCTTTATAAACTCCCCACTCAGATTCCTCAGTTAATCATTGCATGTTAAGAGTTAAGTAGTAATTTTTATTTCTGATTTTTCTACCTCCTCCTAGAGGTTCTTCCAGGCCATCTTTTGAACTAGCCATGAGTGGTTATTCATGTTTGCGTTATTAGGACTCTTTTTAGCCCTTTTTGAAAACCTACTTGATGTTCTATACTTTGCTACTTAATAAATGGAGTTCCACATACAGAATAGTAGAGTTTACCCAATTGCAGAGAAAAGATTGATTTGGCCTTCATAAAGGTGAATTTTTTAAGTTGTAAAAATATGTGTTAAAAAGTAGATATCCCCCATTATTACCTTTAATTGATTTAACTGTGTACAAACAGTATAATTACCACATTGCTAAGTTTAAACTTGATTGTATTGTGTATAATAACACCTATTTGTCTTCTAGTCCTGTGTTTTTAAATAGTCTGTGGCTAAGTGTGAAACTAGATCTGTGAAAATTAAAATGTGACAATAAGCGAAATGTGCGTTAGCCAAAACTCAGTATTGAAGTCAAGACTGAAATGCCATTCATTCCTGGTTTAGAGAGACATTCTCCTCTGATTTCCATCATTTATAAAATATCATATCAGTGACACTGACACATTTTCTTTATTAGAGACAGTAATTTACATACTTTGCTACATGAATTCTAGCCAGGACAAGTTAAGACCAACCATTGTCTTTGGCTGTGGTAATAAAACAGAGAGAACTAACCTTCGTATAGCTGCTGTTCTTTATGATGCTCTAGTGGGAACAAAGCAGGTTCACTTGTCTCCTCTCCTTTTCCCTCCAAAAGAACTTTTAACCACCCTATGGTGCTCATAAAATACTGTCACTTGCCCACTGATTAGGAATAACCTTTTTTTTTTTTTTTTGCATTCTGTGAAAACACAGATACTCATATAGGCATGTGACCTATGTGAAGGAACTAATAGTTATATTCAAGAAAATACAGTGGCAGCTGACAGCCTTGCCTAATCTTAATTGCTACTTCATGTTGTGTATAGTGCCTTTGGTATAATTTACCAATCGTATAACCCAGTAGAATGTTTGACGAGAAGGAAGAATGTAATTGTGTACCTGAAGTTCATAATTTATCTAGAGCTCTTTAATACTCACAGTATATTTATATATATATATTTTTAAATGCACATGAATTTCAGTGTGCTTTTTATTGTGAGTTGATGATATTGATAAAGAAGAAACAAAGTAACCACGTTAAATATAAATATGAGGAAATGCCAAGGGGAAAGGCTTCTTTTCTGCCTCCGATTTAAAGAAGGTCTGTGGAAACACAAACAGGCTGTTATCACCAAGAACCGTGTAGAAAAGAATTTGGAGAGTTCTTCAGTTGTTCTTGGATCAAAATTCTTCCCATTTTAAAAGGATCTTCCTTGTAGTAAATTATTTTTATAATTAGTAGTGTCAGCCAGAAATACTGCCCACATTTTTAAAAAGCTCCTTTTAAAACTAGTTTGCAGAATAAACTTTTAACTTAAAAAAAATCCAGAATAGTTTTTTGTAAATTGCTAAAATAGACCTTTCATTCAGATTTTGTTGTGAGTTATATCAAATTGGTTTGTTTTTTCTTTTTTAAAAAAACCTTTAAATAAAATCAATAGAATTGAGTGAAATTTTGACATCTTTCTCTTGAATTTATGTGTTTGAGTTAAAACTTAACATCAATAGATTTTAACTGGATAATGTAATCTGTTAATATTATCATTGGACTATCATGCCCGCTATAGATATAAGTTAATAGGATTGAATTCTTTGAGATAGATGCCAGACAAATCTAACCTACTGACAGTCACCTGTTTAATTATCTGAGCAGTGTGAGGTTTTAAGTTAAATACACAAATGTGATGGTCTTGTGAGTTGCCCATGCTAAATGCTTACATTTAATATTTTTGGATAAATATAACTTTGGAAAATAAGTCTCCCATTTATATTTTCTCAAACTTACCCTTCCACCTTGTATGTGCCCTTTTTCCAGAAGAGACAAGGAAAGTACTAAACATTAGTGTATGGCTTAATATGACAGTCTATTTTTACATCATTATGTTAATTTCTGAAAGAAAGCATTCCAGTCTGTTTATTAGACAAGTTATGTATTTTATTTATGCAGACATTTAAGTGCATTTTTAATTTTAAAAGCTTTTTGGGGTTTTTTTGTTGTTGTTGTTGCTGTTACTTGATTACATAGAATTAATATATTTTTATATTTTCTATATGTGGCTCTAAAAATAGGCTCTTTCAGGAAATCTAATGAAATATATCACTGCAGTTGTCATTTAATTTGTCTTTAGAGGATACGTTAAATGATTAATTTTAAAAAAAGTGTAAAGAGCTGAGAAAAAAATTAGTAGGTAAGTTCAGCTCAAATTATTTGGTTTTCTACACTTGGGATATACAAGTATTGTATTCTAATGAGACTTGTCCTTCTGGTGGTAAAGTCTACTCCGCTAGTATAAAATAGATACTTTGTGCTGTTAATTCATAGATTACAAGAATTTGCTTTAGCACACAGAAGCATTTATTTATTAACTGTTTTTATATTAGTGGTCTACAAAACACTTTCATAACATCTGGTAGGGGCCTTTGCTGGCACACTAGAATTCACAAATATGTACAGTATATCATGCTCATATATTTCTCTGCAAGAGTGGAAGATAACTACTGTTTCTTTATTCTCTTGTTTAGTGGATTAGATTTCAAGATCATTCTGTTGTAACTGTAGGCATTGTATATTAGGTCCATTCTTTTATTTATGTCATTTTAATACACATAATTTTTATATCCAATGACATTAAGATGTCCCATAATTTAGTGGCCTTCTTTATAATGCTAAAAATGGGTCTGCATTGTATATGATATGTGGGAATGGATGGTCATTAGTTTCTCATGACAGAATCATGTTGGTTTGAATGCAGGTTTTTTTGTTTTGTTTTGTTTTGTTTTACCCCAAATGAAAAGTTATTACGATTACCTCTGTTACCTTAAAAATTCAGATAAGTAAGTTAATTATATATGGAAGTTTAGCAAATGTTTATTTTCACCAGTACTAGAAATGCCAGGCCATTAAATAAGAATGGCAACTTAAAGTGGGCAAATTTGATAAATGCATCAGTCTAGTAATAAGGTTCTCATGCTCTCTCTCTCCTGTTTTTCATTTCCAGTGTTCTATTTAGGTGAGTTTTTGAATTCTGATTTTTCATTTAAGTTTTCCCTTTCCACATCATGAATAAGTACCCCAAAGAGAATGTCTCATTGTCTTAGAAAATGTCAAGCTTAGGTGCCTATTCAGATGCTCATTGAACACTTGTTTTACTCAAGCTCTTCATATATAAATGTTTATTTTTCCTTTATTGTTGATGTTTTCCATTTGTTTCAAGTAAACCTTCTGGAGGTAATGACAGTATTATGTTGCAGTCTTTCATTTGCTGTGTGTTATATAAAGCTTATATTTTATTTTGCTAAATAAAAAGAAGATACATTTGTAAATATGTGATGGTTTTATGTTATTCTCATGATTTTATCTCCTCTATCCAGCTTAGTATAAGGATGATGTTCATCTACAATGTTTCCTTCCCTTTTTAGGGCCAACATTGCCTAGACAAAATTCACAACTACCTGCCCAAGTCCAGAATGGCCCATCACAAGAAGAATTGGAAATTCAAAGAAGGTAAACTCACAAATTATTGTTTGTACTTTCTCTTTCTACTGCAGAAGACCACTCTGAACATCTAATACTGAAAGTAGATTTTGCCTCATCAGCCATTTGAACGTCTGAACTTTCATTGTTATATTAAGATTTGGAGGCGGGGGAGGGTATAGCTCAAGTGGTGGAGCGCGTGCTTAGCATGCACTAGGTCCTGGGTTCAATCCCCAGTGCCTCCATTAAAAATAAACAAACAAACAAACAAACCTACTCTTCCCTTCCCCCCGCCTAAAAAAAAGATTTGAAATCACCATTACTAAGCAAGCAGATTCTTGATAGGCTGGATAAAAGATGTTATAAAATTTCATATCTGCCTTTTTGGTAAAAATCATACTGATGTAAATTTAAAATACTTTAAATGTACTTAACAGCATACAAAGTGTCTTTATACTTCAAGGAGTCTTATTTTGGTAGCAGTTATAAATTAATCTGTGATAATTATGGCTTTCACATGACTAATTTAACTAGAAGGTTGAAATAGTGTTGGCTGTTTGTGTAAGGCATTGAACATTGAACAAGATGTAGTAATGGAATACAAAAGCATTTTGCTTATGCTTAAACTGCTGGTTGAATGAAATCAGTAACATTGTCTTCGTTATTTCAGTGCAGTTTAGAAAGACAATTGAAATTATAATACAGCCTCAGGGGGTAGTTTTTTCTAAATTAGCAAAGAGTCTCTAAATTATAAGCTACTTTGTAATAAAATAATTTTATAAAATTCAGGCACATTCAGTAACTAAAATTGAGCTGGTCAAACTAGGTATCCCATTTTAAACAAATGAAAACTTTTTAGAGATGTTGATGTTGCTTTTTGTCACTAGTAGGTCACCCTTGTTTTGTTCTGGTTTATAACCTTCGTATAGATGGAATTTTCCAATTAAGAGGCATTTGCTCCGTGGCAAGTCAGCATTTTTTCTTGTCACCTTCGACTTGGATCTCACATTTGAAGCATTCTTCATATTCTTGATCTTGTCTTAATATATGTGTCATGTTTCCCTGATAGATGGTGAAAAGAATCTCTTGCTATGGTTCTGTGTTGGCTCCTTTGCTGTATAACTACTTAGCTCTTGAGGAATGCCCTCCAGGATCTCCCAAAATGAATTTTGTTCTTGCCACAGTTTATATACTCAGATCACTCCAGAAATAGCCTCCAAATTTGGTGAAAATCTATCTTCTCTTTAGAGTGATGCTGTAACATATATAAATAAAGTTTCTGTAGAAATAAGGAAAGTTTGAAGGATATAATAATTTCAGTTCCATATTTAAAGTTTTAAACATAGTAGAATAACTGTAAGAGTTAGAAATTGTAATGATACTGTCTCTCTCTCTTTCTCACACATAGACACACACAGAGAAGTAATTAATGAAAAACGATCATAGTTTCATTGAGAGTAACACATTTGCAGAAAACTAGAAAGAACCAGGAGAAAACCCTGAACATAATAGATAATCTCTGGTGATAGAGAGTGGATAAGCAAGTAATCCTGGAGATGGTTGCTGGAGCCCAGGACAATACAGGATAGGAACAAACCATCTTCTGGGTACTGCTGGCTTGTTAAGGGTCACAGAAGGTTGTCAAGAACTTGCAGCATGCAAGTTTAGTTGGAAATGAGTATCGAATGAATTTTTAGTAATTGTTATGAAAACTCTATACCTCATGTATATTCTTTCTTATTTCAAAGTACTAGCCCCTAGCAGTGTGCATCTGGACTTGAGGTTTTCTGTTTGTATGTGAGTAGATACTTAAGGGTTTGAAAATTGGGGATGTTGTTTATATTACTTATTTGTTTAGTTGAAGACTTTAACTCAGTCCTTTGAAGAGTGAAACCTAAACTTCTGAAAAATTGGTATGAATTTTAAAATTATTTTCTGTCCATATAGTCATGCACAGACTCTTCTTTGTTCTGCCAAAAGATACCAACCAAATTTCTTCTCAGTATTAATTTCATCTTCATTCCTTTTCTTTCTCTCTACCCATTTCCTTTTTAATCTTGTGAAATCCGCTTTGTGTCTTTCAACAAACCTATTGGACATGCTGCTTCCATCATTGACTTATTCTTGTTTAAATTTCTTCTCTTAGTCCACATGAGCCACTTCTCTTTCTTCCTTTTGGTACTTCGGAGTGTCTTCTTTTTGCCAACTCTTTTCCATTTCTGTCCTTTTCTTTACCTCTTCTTTTTCTTATATAAGGCTTTGCACTTAGCTATCTTTGTTTTTTCTTTCTGTACACAGTATAACCTTTGAAAAATTGATGGTTTGGTTGAATATTGCAGTTTTCTTTTAACTTTTATGCTGATGGCTTCCAAATCTACAGCTCCCTATCGTCCAGTGGAGATCCAGACCCATATTTCCACCTAAATGGAGTAGTGACATGGGTCTTTTTGAGAATTTGGTAGAAGTAGTGAACCACTGCCCTCTTCCATCCAGTGCCCCCACCCCCACCCTTCAGATATGTGTGTATGATTGTGCGTCCATGCACACGTGTGTGCCCTTATGTGTGAAAACCTGCATGCTATTTCAGAAGATCACAACAATGGGGATTTCTACTGTAGAGCTCCTCCATTTGGAGCCTCAGTTTAAACCCTTATGATTTCATTCTTAATGTACATTCCTTCTTCTCTTTAATATTTCTCCCAAGTTTTCAGCTTAGAAATTGTATAATTATCTTCATTCACAATGTCTATTCAAGTACATTTTGTTATTTCTGTCTCTGAAATCCTGTTGGATTTACTGTTCTGACATTCTCATTACTAGTAACTTTCTCCAGCATTTATTCTTTGATATGCTGCTGTAGTTTTCTAGTTTTTCTGTCTTCAACCTAGATCCCTTTCAGCTATTCCTACGTTATTACTGCCAGATTAATTTTTCTTAAACTCTTTGCACAAACAATACAAGAAGGCCTAAAATGGGGAAGGGTAATCTGCTACACAGGTATGCCTTCCTCTCATATTAATCACCAGATTTAATTGCTTTTACCCATTTCGACTCTTAGGACTTTTGATGAGTTCTTCCATAATAATATATAGTATGTTTATATTTCTGTTTCTTGATTAATGGTATTACAGATATTAGCTATTGACTACTAGAAGAATTCTTTACTTCCCCTGCCAATTACGAGTAGTTATTGTTTTTGGTTCTTTTTTTGATTTCTCTTTCAAACTGAACCTGTGTCTTAATCTTGGGCAATATCTCTTAACTTGTCACTCTGTGAGAGGAATGCAGTAGTTCTGCTCTCCTCCCTGTCCCTTTCTTCCATCTACTATCTAGTTTTGGCAGGCATACCATTTTCAAGGTTTATACATTTGCAGTCTTTGTATTACTGCCATTAAATCTTTGTCTTTATGTTAGTAGGTGATCGTTTCCCCACCTTCCTAGAATCTTTTTAAACCTTCTTATTAACCATGACAGTCTGAGTTTTCAAAGATATGACTAGTCATGTTTTTGGTTTGAGGGCCCCCCCCCATTTATTAAGCTCAATACTTAGTGGACTGTTTTCCATTTGAAGTTATTCACAACTCTTAAAAATTTTTTTTAAATTTTATTTCTTTACCCATTTCTTTGTCTCTATTTTCTCTATTCTCTTTTGGGGATCCTACTGGTCAAATGCTGGGCCTTCTGAGTTATTTCCTTTTCTCATTTTCTGCCTCTTTCTTTGTTCTGTATTCTTGATGGTATTTTAAAATCATATATTCTAGACCAGCACTATCCAGTAGAAATATAAGCTACATATTTAATTAAAATTTTTCTAGAAGCCATATTAGCAAAAATAAAAAGCAGGTGACATTAATTTTAATAGTACATTTTATTTAACCCATTATATCAAATATTATCATTTCAACATGAAATAAGCATAAAAATTGTTAAGATATTGTACATTCTACTTTTCATACTGAGTCTTCAAAGTTCAGTATGTATTTTACACTTACAGCACGTTTCTATTCAGACTAGCCACATTATGAGTGTACAAGAGCCACATATGGTTCATGGCCACCTAATTGGACAGCACAGTAGTAGATCTTCTATAATTTAATTTTATTCTCCAAGAGCTTTTAGTAGGGGGGTTATTATTACTTTTCCAAAACAGCCTGTTCTAAATTCATGATTTCTTAAGTCTCTCTTGTTCCTCTTCCTTTGCTTGAATTATCTCCTTTCTGTAGAGTGGTGTTGTTTGCCTTACTGATTTTACACAAATATCTGGTAATCTTCAGTGGTCTCCTTTGTTTCTAAAAAAAAGAGTTTGAATGATGTCAATACTTAGCTTGGGTTTGCTCTTCCACCATGGGGTTTGGGTGTCTACGGACAGCATTATTCCCAGACCTAGGGCTGCCAGGGAGGTCTATGCAGGTGGCTGGGCATACAGACTGACAGGCTCTCCTTTCGGGTGCAAGAGCAGGGAGCAGACAGGCCTCAGCCCCACAAAGCTGAGCTACTTTCATTTCCCCCAGATGCCCTAATTCACCTGACTCAGCGTTTTCAGTTTGTTTAGAGAACAGTCTTCTATGGTTAAGCCATTCCATTCGTTAGGAAGGAAGCAGAGGGGTGACAGGTGCGTTCTCTTCAGACAGTGTGTGTGTCTGTTAATTCTTCTCTTGTCTGCTTCAGCCATTCTCAGTATGTATTCTGGACTTCGGATGCCTCCAGTCTTCAATTAAGTTATGTTCCAGGCTAAGTGCTTTGTTCTAAGTGCTTACACTATATCAGGGTGGGGAGTGGCGGACAAAAAGCCTCACCCTAATCAGAGAATAGAGTGAACGTGACATAGGGTAGTAGAAGGTGGTAAGTGCTGTGGGGAAAGATACAGCTGAGTGAAGGGAGTATATGGTACAGAGGGGCAAGGGGAAGTGCTGGTTATACTTTCAAATAGGTTGATCAGAGTAGATCTTACTGAGATGAAAAGAAGCAAACAGCCTTAGTGGGTGTCCGGGTAAGTGCAGTGCTGCAGAGGGTGCAGGCAGCACAAAGCC